TGATGTCTGGGCTGCTCTTTCCTCCCCGCAGCGCCCCGAGGGAAGCGCGGCTGGAAGCCCTTCCACGCCATCCTGAAGGGGATGATTCTCTACCTGCAGAAGGTAGGCTCCTCACCAGGGAGTGGGATCGTCCCCAACCCAGGGGGAGGTCACGTCAGTTCCCACAGCAGTGGGAGGGGGGCTACAGCGCACGGCATTGCAGAGCCTGGCCTACACAGACTCAGCATCATGCCTGCCGGAGCGGTTGCGTGGGGACCTGGTGGCATCTCTTCCCGGGGTGCTCAGGCTCAGCTTGGGCAGAGAAAGCGGCTGCCGACCCAAGGCCCTGCTTGGCTGCGCAGAGAGGAGGCACTTGGGCCTTTGCCTGAGAGGGGATGGGGCTGCAAATGCAGTCTCCTGCAGACACACACTGCCCAGCTGCCAGGGGGTGGGGAACTGTTGCCAAGCCCATGCACCCACGGTGTGCAGCCTCACCCTGTGGGTATGGCACGAGCTGGGAGCAGAGCCTGCAGCCCGGTGGAGGGTGATGTCCGAGCACCACCACTTCAAACACTCGCCTGCAGTCCCCACAGCCTGGTAGAGCTGACTTAGGGTGGGGTGCATCCCTAAGCTGGCTCTGAAACACCCCGTGGTTCACAGGAGGAGTATAAGCCAGGGAAGGCGCTGGCGGAAGAGGAGCTGAAGAACGCCATTAGCATCCACCATTCCCTTGCCACGCGGGCGTCTGACTACAGCAAGCGACCCAATGTCTTCTACCTCAGGACAGCTGACTGGAGGGTCTTCCTCTTCCAAGCACAGTGAGTTCACCAGGGTCACTGGCTGGGCCCCATGCTGGGGTGCAGGGGCTCCTCCAGCTGGGGCGGAGGGTGGTATGAAAAAGCTGTCTCCGGTCCTGGCCCTTTCTGGAAGGGACAGGACCTGGTGTCAGCGCTGTGCTTTGCCCAGCTCCTCTCCTTCTCGCCCCGATAGGCTCGTGGTGGCCTGAGTTGCTGGGGACAGAGCCCCAGGTGCCGTGGCTGGCCAACCCAGGCCTGGGGGACCTGGATCTCACCTGCAGGGCAGGTTCCTCTGCCTGTGACACAGGCAGTGCCACTTCAAGCCCATCTGTGCTTTGGCCTTTCTCCCCAGGAACCCCGAACAGATGCACTCGTGGATCACGCGCATCAACGTGGTGGCAGCCATGTTCTCCGCACCCCCCTTCCCTGCAGCCATCGGCTCCCAGAAGAAGTTCAGCCGCCCGCTGCTGCCCAGCTCCTGCACCAGGCTGTCCCAGGTGGGCCGTGGCGTGGGGGGCAGACCCCTGGCGCTGCTGGTGGCACTGTCCCCCATGGAGGGACCTAGGTGGTGCCACACATCAGGCTGCCTCCCCGCGGGGTACAAGGCTGAGGGAGTGTGGCTGGGGGGACCTGGAGCAGGGCTGGGGGTGGGCAGCGAGGTTTTGTTCCTGGTAGCGGAGATGGGAGACACGTGATGGAGCCAGACCGTGGCAGAGAACGTGGTCCCACACCGCAGCTTGCAGGGTCCTGCCAAGGCCGGGACCTTGAAGGGCGACCGGCCAGGGGGATTAGCTGCCGCTCGCGTGTGCCAGGGCAGTTATTCATAGAGCAGAAAGGATTAAAAAAACCCCACCAGCCTAGTTTTAGAGGGGATTATATTATTCTGCTTTAAGATTGCAGCCAGCCCCCCATGAGGCAGGAGCAGATTGCCCCCCAGGGCCTGTGCTTTTGCCTGCTATTTTAAAAGAAAGCAGCCAAAACCAGGAGCAGAATCTGTGATCCTGGCTGGACTTAGGCAGGGAAAAACCTGTTCTGTCCCTGGACAGCTCACAGGAGGTGTGGGGGAGAACAGAGGGCAGAGTGGGGCACTGATGTGGTGCCACCCTTCCCCAGGAGGAGCAGGTGAAGAGCCATGAGACCAAGTTCAAGACTATGTCAGCGGAGCTGCTGGAGCATCGCTCCTCGCTGCCTGAGAAGAAGGTGAAGGGCAAGGAGTACGAAGAGCTGAAGCAGAAGGAAGAGTACCTGGAGTTTGAGGTGAGCTGGGAGACCCCCACTGTGCCCCCAGTCCCTTGCCCCTACCCACTTGGCCATCCTGAGTGATGGGACCCTCCCCATCTGCTGAATCGCACTGTGCCGCTGCCGTGCTGCGGGACCGTGATCACCCCCCTCACCCAGGGATGCTGGCCGAGGGGCAGTGCCCAGCTTGCCAACCCCTCTCTCCTGCACTGTGCCCCCCAGAAATCCCGCTATGGCACCTACGCCATGCTGCTGCGGGCCAAACTGAAGGCTGGCTCCGAGGACCTGGCAGCGTTCGAGTCCACCCTCTTTGACGCAGTGGGCGGGGAGGACGATGGCCTGAAAAAATCCCGCTCCAGCCCTTCGCTCAACGCGGAGCCATCCGGCACGGCCCCCAAGGTGAAGCGCAAAGTCTCGGAGC